CTCACCATGTCTCACCATGTCTCAGCATGTCTCACCATGTCTCAGCATGTCTCAGCATGTCTCACCATGTCTCAGCATGTCTCAGCATGTCTCAGCATGTCTCACCATGTCTCACCATGTCTCACCATGTCTCACCATGTCTCACCATGTCTCACCATGTCTCACCATGTCTCACCATGTCTCAGCATGTCTCACCATGTCTCACCATGTCTCAGCATGTCTCAGCATGTCTCAGCATGTCTCACCATGTCTCACCATGTCTCACCATGTCTCAGCATGTCTCACCATGTCTCACCATGTCTCAGCATGTCTCAGCATGTCTCACCATGTCTCACCATGTCTCAGCATGTCTCACCATGTCTCAGCATGTCTCAGCATGTCTCACCATGTCTCAGCATGTCTCACCATGTCTCAGCATGTCTCAGCATGTCTCACCATGTCTCAGCATGTCTCAGCATGTCTCACCATGTCTCAGCATGTCTCAGCATGTCTCACCATGTCTCACCATGTCTCACCATGTCTCACCATGTCTCACCATGTCTCACCATGTCTCAGCATGTCTCAGCATGTCTCACCATGTCTCAGCATGTCTCACCATGTCTCACCATGTCTCAGCATGTCTCACCATGTCTCAGCATGTCTCACCATGTCTCAGCATGTCTCACCATGTCTCACCATGTCTCAGCATGTCTCACCATGTCTCAGCATGTCTCAGCATGTCTCAGCATGTCTCAGCATGTCATGTCTCACCATGTCTCAGCATGTCTCACCATGTCTCACCATGTCTCAGCATGTCTCAGCATGTCTCAGCATGTCTCAGCATGTCTCACCATGTCTCACCATGTCTCAGCATGTCTCAGCATGTCTCAGCATGTCTCACCATGTCTCAGCATGTCTCAGCATGTCTCACCATGTCTCAGCATGTCTCACCATGTCTCAGCATGTCTCAGCATGTCTCACCATGTCTCACCATGTCTCAGCATGTCTCAGCATGTCTCACCATGTCTCACCATGTCTCAGCATGTCTCAGCATGTCTCACCATGTCTCAGCATGTCTCACCATGTCTCAGCATGTCTCAGCATAGTAGACACACCTAAACCATGTCCGGGTCGACTTACAGCTGTGAGTCATATTATTTGCCGTTAATATTAATAAAATAAATTATTAATCCAGGCTCCTTTGTAAGTACTTACAGGTTGACACAAACTTCATTCAAGCCACTATCAAACTACTGGCAGTGCAGTCACATGTCCTTTTCTTTTACTTTTGAAAAAACATATATATATAAAAAAAGAGTTGCTCTGAACTATTTTTGGATTTAGAAGATTTGTCTTGTTTCTTTTACGTGACTACTGACATGTAGTTTCACTGTTCTGAGAGTAATTGTATCATTATACATTTATATTTCTCTTTATTATATGTATTCCAAACAAGTGGCTTATAGGTTTAATATATCTACTGTATATGTTAAAAGTATTCTACCTCAAAAAATCACAATTAATATTGTTGTGCTGATATGTACATTTGATAGGCGTATGGGTCACACTTTAAACAATGTGAGGCTTTTGTTAGGATGACATTTTAGTAACTTGACCTCTTTGCATTTTAACTTGATACCCCTGGTCTACGCTGAAGTCCACACGAATGCATAAAGTTTAGCCGACCATCTGACGCATTTTCTCTTCCTCATTTCTCCCATACAAATGTATAGATAGCTTTCTAGATTTGGACTCACTTTCTAGATCCTCAGCTTCAACCTATTTCTCGGTCACGATGAAACATCTAAATAAGGGAACTAAAGAAAAGTCCCTTCAAGAGAAAACTGGGTGGATTTCTTGCCCTGGGTGCATGGCTTCATATTTCATACTCTCCAGGGTGCATCTGCTCCTTTAGCAACAGTTGCTAAGAGGGAGCAATTGGTTAACCAGCCTGTCACTCATTCCCAAACTCACCCTATCAAGGAGTCCTCCCCCAACTGGTTTCCTCCTTCCACCATGGCCTGGGATAGTGCAGTGAGAGGAAGCTTTTTCTGTGAGAAAGAGGCAATAATTAGACTTGTAAAGTACGTAAAACAAAGCATAAGCACTAAAAGAACCCATTTCTATACAGTAGCTTCAGCATTTGATGTTGAAACCAATGGAAATGCATCAAAGACTTTCCATTGAGCAGTAAAGGAAGAGGAAGAGATGCTAAATGGGACTTGAGATGCAAACTAGGGAAGTGAGACATCTATCAAGCGACAACACCGGCGCTCACTTAACGGCGACATGGTTTACATGTGTGCAAAACATTTCTTCTTGTTCAACATCCTGTTTTTAAACCAGAGGATCCCAGAGGCTGAAAAGTGCCATGCATAAAGAGCAAAGATGACAGATGTCTGAATGGGAAATGGAGCGAGCGGTGCTGAGAACCAGAGAGGCGGAGGAAGTGATCTGTGTCGTTACCTGACCGTTTCCTGTATAGAGGCGTGGAACGGACTGTGGGGCGTATTTGGTTTGGGGTAGAGAAAACAAAAGAGAAATCATGGACTCTACGCCTACTGTGGAGACTTTGAATAAAAACATCTTGAAATGAAATTACACATCCTGGTTCTTTATTAAAAACTGGAGATTTATATTATAACAAGCTTGTCGTCTTACATGTCTCTTTTCTGCCTCTGCTCCGATGTGTCCCTGTAGACACGACACCATCCTCTTGTGTGTGTTGTGAGACACGACGCGCACCAACTCCATCCGCCGTTCAATCTGTGGGCACAAGAAAGGATACGCAAGGATAAATATTAAGCAAATACCTTCTGTAAACATGTCAGATTTCATTTGATGCCATCCCAGAGCAAGTAGCAGCAGCGTTTGGTTAAAGGTTCAGCAATTTGCACAAGATGTGAGATCAAATTGAATAAAAGTCATCAAATAACAGAACAATATTACAGGATTATTATTAAAGAACTCCACAAACATATTTGTCCCACTCTTTTTGTAATATGTTGTTATCAAAGCCTGACTATACTATATTGATTCCTTTTTGTTTTGTAGAGGTGATAATACTTGCGATATATAAAACAGATATTACTCAGGCCTGCCTTTCTGGTGATTTCCCTATACTGCTAAAAATAAAACAAATTGACCGTTAAATAAATGTAAAGGTCCCATGTCATGGCCATTTCCACTGATCATGATTCCATTGTTGAGGTCAACTAGAATAGATTTATATTGTGCAATTTTCCAAACTCACTTTGGTTTCTCAAACAGCATCTCTGTAAACTACGTGGATTCACTGAATTTCACTCTCTGCCTTTAACGGCTCTTTGTAGCTCCAGTAGCTCCAGCCCCCACCCTCCCTGTGAGCACAGTGTGCTCTGATTGGTCGGGACGTTGTGAATCGCGCTGAGCTCCGTGGAGGTGTGGTTTCATTGTTTAGCGACAGCGAAACACAGCCAAACTCACCCTGAGCACACACAAAGTCACAGTCGAAGTAAAAACAATAAGTGTGGCTTGATATTGAGTAAGAAAAAGGTTGATAAACGCTGTGAGAATGGGTCTGCAGAGAGAATTTCGCCGCGATCCCAACTGTCTGTTATCAGCCTGCAGCCAGGGAAGAGAGATCAGCAGGGCTGCCTGCACTGAGTGTGTGTGTGAGGAAGTCCGTGGATTGGTCAATTTGGACCAATCAGCGGGGGCTTAACGTAACGGCTCCGCGGACTTAACGTAACGGCTCCACGGATTGGTCCATTTGGTTCCGGGTAACGACATCATGAGTTGCAGAATCAATGGGCAGTGACGTATCTCCAACGAGGCGTTTTGGGGAGGTCTTCTCTGTGTTAGAGTTTTACTCGCTACAGGGTGTACTTTGAGGGTTTTGACTCTGCAGACCGTTTACATGCATAAAAACCTTCATAACACACAAGGGGACGGGTAATAACCAGAAAAGCATGACATGGGACCTTTAAAAGAAGAAGAGGCACCTAAAATGAAGATTGTTATTTCAATACCTTTAGTTGATTTTGTCTTTTTAATTGTTTA